CTTTTGGTTCTGCCTGTAATTGTTTTACTGGTAAACATGTTATAAATGAACTAGAAATTTCAAGTATTTGTTGGTATATTGTGATTCATTTGATAAACATTCATTGAGCACCTCCAAGATCTCAAGTGCTGTTTGTTAAGGTTTGGGGTATGTAGTTCAGCAAAAGAGAGAACCAGTCCTTGTTCTCATGGAGCATACATGCTCTCGGAAATGAGGAAGACAACAAAAGAGCAAACAAAGACATGGTAAAGATGTGCTTTTGACGAAAATAAAATGTATTAAAAGTTACAAAAGAAACATGAAGGAGCCAGGCGGGGTGGCTCACTCCTATAATCCCAGCACTTTGGGAGGTGAAGACAGGAGGATTGCTTGAGGCCGGGAGTTTGAGACCAGCCTGAGCAAAAGCGAGACCCCGTCTCTACAAATAGAAAAATTAGACTAGCATGGTGGCGCACAACTGTAGTCCAGCTACTTGGGAGGCTGAAGCAGGAAGATTGCTCAAGTTCAGGAATTTGAGGTTGCAATGAGCTGTGATAACACCCTGGTGACAGAACAACGCCCTGTACTATGAGAGCAAAGAATACGAAGAAAGTAAAGTAATTCTAAAAAGTAACTGGATTGAGGGACAGAGAGTTAATTAAGTTACATGATTTAGGCAGGGAACACATCTTTAAGGGAATGCTATTTGAGATATCCTGAAAATCAAAAAAGGTCAGCAATGGTAATGTAGGGGAAGAGCACTCCATGAATTTGCAAGAGTAGTAGTACAAAGACACAGTGGCAACTGGGTGCTTATGTTGAGCGACGAAAAGAAGAGTTCTGTGGTTGGAACAGGGTGAACATGAAGTTTTAGAGGTAGGCAAGGGCCAGATTATCTAAATCTTTGATGACCATAAAGAAAGAGACTTATTCTAAGGGACAAAATAAGAAGCTATTGGATAGCTTCAAGCAGTGGATTCACATAATCGGATTTATGTTTGTCAGTCGGTGAATTTTTATGGATGCTCTTAATTTTCCTTAAAACCCTTAGATTACATGATTGCTATTACAGTGGAATGGGCCACTCATCACAGAAATAGGCTGCAAGACTGGTTAGTTGCAAGTTGCAGGAAGGATTTAAGTGTTGATGCATGGTTGCAGAAGTGACATTTTAAAACTTTCTTTTAGCCTGAAGAGTTAATCACTTTAGTCAATGAATTTGATATAAATCCGTACTATAAATTGCTGATAATATTTGCAGTCTTTTCTCAGGCAAAGATCCAGTGAGAAATGAGAATTTAAGAGATTCTGAGCATTCTAATAACTGAGAGTCCTCAAAGTCTGTTTGTTTTTGTTTGTTTCTAAATTACAACTCTGTATTATGGGACACAACAGGATTAGTGTATTGTAGCACTTATTTTTAATTGGAGAAATATAGGATATGGCTCTGGGAAATGTGTGTTAGCTGGACAAAACCTCAGAGGTAGTTCTGATATGGAACTACCTCATGTGGGTGACTCTCATTCCTTTCAGCTAAGAATCATTCTAGTAGGCTCTAAATCCTATAAAGGCTTATATCCCCAACTTTTGAGGCAGTGCTTGACATGCAAGAGATATATCCTAAATGTTTCTTGAATAAAATAATGAAATCTTTACCATAATCTTCTGAAACATCAATGATCGTCAAGGGGAAATTAAAAGGAGACAATGCTAAATGAGCATCTACTACTTCAAATGAACTATGCTGGGCACTATAATATGCAAGATCATTAAACATTATTACCCCAAATCTCTTTGACTCCAAAGCATACCCATCTCATTGGGGATGGGCTCAGTACCGGAGTGCATGTACTTTTTGTAATTATAAGTATTCTAACAAGAATCTCCCTATACCAGACCATTGCTCTTGCCCATAGTTTATAACCTGTATCAGAAAGCTTGTTCTACATTTAGAAACAAATTATCTTCACTATTTGCTTGTATCGACAAGTCTTTGAAAGGCAGTCTCTTTCTTTTTTAATTGCTAAAGTTAATTCATTTTATTCCTCCTAAGTAACATTTCATTTTTAATTTTTCTTACGAAAAAAACTGCATTCATGGAATAGAATGTTCAATTACTTGTATCACTGATCGGGGTATCTTTAATTTATAAAAATCTTTAAAAAAGATAAAATATAGTATTTCTATTCTTATTTTCACCCTCCTTAAAACAATGAAAAGGTCTCAGGTAGTCAGATTTTATATTTATTTGGGGTTCAAATATTATATATTCTGTAATTTTTAAATAAACATTTTTTACTAAAGCAATAGATAGATAGGGTTCACATTGTATTTATCCACCCTGCTATTGCCTATACAATGAATTTTTCTAACATTAAGTAAAATTTTGTCAAAACATGGAAATAAGTGATGAATGTGAAACTGTATTTCTATCAAAATTATGTAGTTATGTGTTTTATATGTCTTAAGTTATCATTTAAAAATTGAACTATTTCCCTACAGGGAAGAGTTACAGATAAGAGTAAGAAAACTGACATGTTGAGAAGGCTTGAATTCCTGTTTTTTTCTTTCATAATAAAATGACTTTGAGCAAGTCATTTCACTTGACCGAGTGTCTGTTTCCTCATCTATAAAATGATAGTTCCTGATTCAGAATTTTTTTAAGGATGCTATGAGCAATATGTGCAATCTTTTTTTTAAAACTGAAGTAACACACAATTTTTTTTCTTCAATGACAAATCGGAAATAACATACAATATAGATATCCTTTATTAACTTAGAATCATGGATTCACATGTGTATTGATCCAGAAAGGGCTTTATAGACCATCAAGTTTATCTTCCCTCTTTAGCTTTTGAGAAAACTCAGTTACAGGGAAATGAAGAGACTCCCTGAAAGTCAAACAAAAAGAATGAATAGCAAAATTGTAGCCAGGGTTTCAATTTTTTTGAGATGAGTTGGAAATATCTGCAAAATACATTGTTTTTATTCAATCTTTATATTTCAGAGCTAACCATGTCATGCAGAACATAGGCTAACTGTATGTAGGAAAGATAATTTTTATTAGACATTAAATATCTACACAGTTACTTTTCTGAAGCCACCATCAAAATAATTTTTACCATGTTTTTTATTGACAAAGTTAAGCAGAGAATATTTCTCTGTATTGTTACCCTTGTATACATCTTAGCCTCGTACTTGCCCTAACCTGTAAATACAGCCCATAAGAAAGCCCTAATAGGTAAATATGGCAAATTTGCAGTCTCAAGGTCATTCATACTTGGTTGGCCTTTATACCATCAGGAAAAAAGATATTCAGCATGTATCCAACTAGTATTTCTTGAGCCCCTAGCAGGTGTAATAGTTAACATTTGTTTCACTTTTTGTGTGCCAGTTTTAAGTACTTTATATGTAATACCTCGTTTAAAGCTCATACTCATTCCATGAGATAGGTATTGTTTTTAGCACTATTTTATTAATGAGGAAATAGAGACCTGGAGAATTTAAATATCTTGCCCATCTTTACAAACATAGAAAGAAGCCAAGTCCATGATTAAAACTCTGGCCCTTTTGCTCCTAAACCTGTGCTCTCATCCACTTTGTTGTACAACTGGATGTTAAAAGCTCTATGATTGGGAATGTGAATATTGCAGGGAGTAAAGCAGACAGAATCTCTGCCCTCATCAAAATAGAGAACAAAACATGTCAGTAAGTGCAGAATTATTAGTGTAGCAATAAGTTTCAGGGAGGGAGTAATTAGATTTTTCTTGTATAGTAATGGATGGCTTCAAACAAGAGTTGTAAATGAGTCTTATGACATAGTAAGTAAACAGAATTTTAAGGCAAAACATGCAGACAGAAGAGTAACTATGATTAATAAAAGGGTAGAGTGTAGTTAAGTTTAGTCAGCATGACTGGTACGAAGACATTGCTTTTTGACATGCCAAGGTCTATAAAATAGAACTACTCTGTGTCTTAGTTTCTGATAAAATTAAGCTGTGTTATTCTTTTAGTTAAAGCTAGAAGTAAAAGACTTCCAAATATGGCAATTTTAAATGCAAGTCTAAAAAGTTTGTTTTTGTCCTGAAAACCGTAGAAAGGCACAACTAGTTTTGACAAGACAGAACCAATTAAAATAATATTTTGGAAACATAGATCTAACTGTGATATGTATGAGGAAGAGGAACAATGTGACCAATGAGAAACTTGCAAAAATATGTATTTGAAATAAAAACCATTGGCGAAAATCAAGAGAAAAAATCAGATATGAACAGCATGAAAAAATAATATCTTCATTATTTTGTGTGTAAAATTGTAAAATTTTACACACAAAAATTTGTAGATGTTAAAATTTTAGAATTTTTTCTGAACAAACCTGTTAGTCTACTCATTAAGAAAATGAAAGTGAGACAATAGATGCATATGAAAACACTGAGGATGTGCATTTCCAAAAATCACTCCAAGGCATGTTGATGTTTCAAGAGATAATTTTGCTAATTAAAAAAAATGGTTACCCTCTCTTAATTCTTTTAACTAATGTCCATTTTGTCAATTTACCAACAAATAAGAGAAAATTTTTCTTTTTAAATATATTTCAGCTCTTTTATATTCAATATACCTTAGAAAAACATATTATTGAACACAGTGTGATTTACAAGATGATGGAATGTTAACTCATCAAGAAACTGAAATGTATAGTATTTTCCTTACTATTAATAATTAAAAGCTACCAAAGAAAGATCAAAGTGCTAATAATGTCTGTCATAATTTTGAAGTGGCAAGAGTTATATACACATACAATATATAGAAAACTAATAAGCAGCTAGAGATCAGACGTGAAATTAATGATTTTATTAGCAATACTTTTAATCTAAGTGTACTTTTTGGCTGATTATTGTGTATGTGTGTGAGTGTGTTTAGATAAAATACAGTATAAAAAGAGAAAAATGAAGATAAATACTTAAGTGTTATTATCTATATAACCAATACTATTTAATAAAACCCATTCATATTCTACACAGGTATGACATTAGAGATGATTACACACTGAGAATTAAAAAGGCCTTGAGTACAGATGAAGGCACCTATATGTGTATTGCTGAGAATCGAGTTGGAAAAGTGGAAGCCACTGCTACCCTCACAGTCCGAGGTAAGAGATTTAAGATGTCAACTATGATTGAACCAGGAGACAATTATTTGGTTAAATTAATAAATGAACTCACAATCAAAATAATAGATTACACTCTTTTATTATTATATTAAAATGCCTAGATTTTGTGTCCTCTCTGTCATTAATTGAAATAAAATTATTTCCAAATTTGGGTTCCAAGTGTTGATAATTTAAAAGGATTAATTCTTATTTAGTAAACAATAGCTACCCTCACAGTCCGAGGTAAGAGATTTAAGA